AAAATTTATAATACCAGTTATGTTCTTTTTTTAATAACTTCAAAAAAGCCAATGTGTCATTTTATGTGATCTGAAATGGAAGCAAATTAGACATTAAATATGAAGAGTTGGGAGGGCCTGTGAGAAAAGTTTCAATCATAAAATTCCTTCTCCTCCCTTTACTCCAAGCAGGGTTGTACCTACATAATTCAATTTATCAGGCAATTCCTATTTGCCAGAGAGAATCCAAATATATGCTTTTTATCATGCTGTAATTGTTAACAGCATCATTTTCATTATCAAAAGTTTTTCATTATAAAAAATATTCCATTTTGGTATGAAATTATATGGTCATCCTTCCTGTAACATCCTTCATGGGAGAAAATTTAAATTCTAATTCTGATGCCTAGAAAAGCAGTCCTAAACACAAAGGGTAAACCCTAAATTCACTATCCTGATCATCATTTTTTTTAAAAAAAGCTATTAAAAATGTCTTTTATTAAAATTGTAGACTAAAAAAAAAAAAAAAAGTAAGAATTACCTGTTGAACAAGGCATCTGGAAATTGGGATCATTGCTATCCAAAACAGGCAAACAGAACTGGTTACTTGCAGATCCTAGCATAGGATCCTTATCGCTGAGCATGTTCTTCAGCGAGTCCTCTAAGACATTTTGACTTGTACTAAAATCCTCACAGACTTCATTCTCCAGGTTGGATCCTATAAATAGGGCATCATCTAAGTGTTCAGTAGGAATTAAATGATTAAATGTATCAACTATATCCATGAAGACTTCTGTGTGTCTTTCAGCCCTATAGAAAGACAAAAAAAATACCATAAGAAATAAAGCTATCAATTGAAAATTACCTATAACCAAATTATTTCAATAGTTTTGAATCTAAGAACACACTTAAGGTATTTCTGAATGATTGTTTAAAAAAAAATCCTCACTGGTTTCAGAAAATACATATGGAAATGTAAAACCAATCTTTGCTAAATAATGTTTCTTCATTACGCATGTAGAATATCATTTTAACAGAAATCCTTTTAATGTTTACTTGAGGTTCATTATTTTTAAAGTGGAAAAAAAGGTATGTATCTAGTTCATAAGTTTACCACAATGAAAAGAAATTTTCATGGTTTAAATTATAAAAACCATGCTTTTAACAATAATCTTTTCATAATAATTAGACATTGCTTTTATAGTAAGTTGAAATAAAAGAACTAAAAAGCAAGTAATTTAAATTACTCATACCTATTAAAACTGTTAGTCTTTATTCACAAAGCATTTAATGAAAAATACTATATATAGACAAAAATTTTCTGAGTAGAACAAGAAAATAGAAACTTAAACTCAACAAATCAGAACAACAACAAAACTATACACACACACAGTGTGCACATACAATTTACTAAAACTACAACACAGTACCATTATCATCGAATTTTAAAAAGTATAAAGAGTTTATCTACCAAAATTTTCTTAAGTTGGCCTTTAACTCATTTCCCTTTATAAAATCACAAAACTTGACATTCAAAAATATGTTACTATTTACTGAGAATATACTGTATGCTGGCACTGCACTAATAAGCATTTTTATTTTGGTTATTTAAAACTACATATATTTATAAATATAACCATATAAATAAATGGTTATTGATAACCATAAACCCCTCGTCCCCTACAAAAATGCTGATTGTATTCAGACTAAAAGGAACCATTTAGGATAGAGAAGAACAGCCCATGATTACAAGCCTCTGTGACACAGTATTTTGCTCTATGTTGGGCTGCCATCTTGAGAGGTCTTCAATTTCAATCCACCAGCTGCTCTGTAAAAGATGGGCAATATCCTACCTATAAAATTTATAATCTCAGAAACTCAATGAGGGTCACCAAGAGTTGGAATCAAATCTACCACAAGGGGTAGTCTACAGAAGCATCTTCAGACACATCTTTACTAAAGAGCAGCTGATGGGTACCACCAAAACGGATTCTGTTATCATTCAGTCCTCCATCAGAGAAAGACAGACCATCTCCTAGGATTTCCTGAAAACCCACTTGATAGTCAGCTATGGGTGACAGCACACAATAACAAGCAACAGTCTTTTACAAGAACTAGATTCATTTTATTTGCTTCAGAGCAATCAAAATATATTTAATTTAAATGCCTTCCCCAAGGTCATTAAACAAAGCTTGGATTCAAGTCTAGTTTTAGGTTCTCCAGTCTATGCCAATACTATCCTTCTATTTAAGAGCTAAAAAAGTAGATAGGGAGTTCTGGGGCAGTGGTTTTTACACTGTCAAATCTAAAGGCATGCAGCTCAAATCCACCAAATGCTCCACAGGGAGGGAAAAAACAGTTGAAGGGTCAGCTATGGATGGTTCCAATGGAACATAACAACACAGAACTGGGAAAAACCCGACTCATTATAAACACTTCTTTAAAAGCAACTATCCAGTTAAATTTTTATTACTGTTTCCATGTGCAAGACAAAGCCTCTAACCTAAAACTATCAGTTAAAAGTAGTTGTTTATCAGTACAATAAAAATTAAGTTAACTAGCTTAAAAAAAAAAACACAACAAACACACCACCAGCCCAACTATTCACCTATCAATGGCCACCTGTGAAGCTAAGAGAAGGATGAACTGCATAGGGGCAGGAGATTACTTTGGGAATATGAAAATGCTCTAATCTTGATTATGGTAGTGGTTTCATGAATGTACATATCTGTCAACATTCATCAAGCTGCTCTTACTAAATGAATGTCGTTTACCACACCTCAATCAATAAATCTTGGAAATAAAAAGGTAGATACTATGTCTTAGCTGCTCTGGACATGCAATTCTAGACATAGATACTGTCTTAGCCACTTTGGATGTGTTATCCTTTAAAAACATCCAGTTTCTACAAAAGGATAGCAAAAAGAGAGTTGGTAAGAAAAAAAGACTTCAATACCGTAGACTGACAGAAGCAGCTGCAACAATGGGCTCAAACTAACTCAAAAGCACCTAACAATTTAAAAACAAAAATTTTTGTACTGTAAGGACAATTAATCTTTTAAACAGTATAATTTCTGTATCTCTCCTCAAATTTGCAATACATACTGAATACAAAATAAACCTTGAAATAAAGGTTAACTACTAACCTCAAATTAAAATTAGTAATGTTGATTAAAAGTCAGGACAAGGTCCTTCAAGTTCCTTTAATTCTTCACAGCTGGTTAAGGAAAGGCTCAATTATGTATCACAATCACTTTCACACCGAATGTACTCAATGGTGACTTAAGAGGTTTTCAGGTTTGGTTTATTGAGTGGGGGGTGGGGGGGGGGGTGTCTGTGTGTGTGTGTTAAGTACTTTGTACACAGAAGCAATTAAGAAACATCTACAAATAAATAAATAAATAAATAAATAAAATCACTACCCACTAGAGGGTAAGCTATGTATGGGGTCAGTTCTGATTGGAGGAACAACCACCACCAATACATTTAAATTTTCTGAATATGTTCAACTCCACTGTTTACTGCCAGTTATAATAACTTCCTAATTCAGAGTTCATCCCAAATAGTAAACACTCTCGCCACAGAAGTAAAAAAAGAAAGATAATTCCAGCCCTAAGAACAAATGGCTGTTCGATAAAAATGGCATGCTGAATCTACTAAAAATGCACCTATCTTAATAAAAACACTAATTCCACTGCCACCAAGTTGACGTGCACTCCTAACAACCCTCCATTGGGTTTCTTTCTCCCTCAGGGCAGCTGGTGGATGCAGCAACAAGGTCAATAAATTCTACAAACTACACCTTTGGTATCCTTCCGTTTTACCAACTGCTACTGAAAGGATTTAGAAGGACCAATCATACACTGACTGAGATCACCAAGCAATTAGGAAGACCAGAAAACTAGTTATGTTAATAAGCGATTTTCCCCCAATAATACTGCTATTAGTAAAAAGAAAATGGGGGAATCAAATTTTCACTACTGATTATTAATAGACTATAGTGTTAAAGGATGATTTAAAGGGTCTTTCCCTTGATTTAAATGGACATTATCAGGAAAAAATTTTCCATGGCTATAAAATATTCTAAAAAGACTACTCAAGAGCCCTGGTGATGTACTGTGTAATTCTTAGAAATGCTAACCTAAATAGTGCAGTTCAAATCCACCAGTTGCCAAGACAGGCAATCTCTTCTCACAAAAATTTGCAGTTTTGAAGAGACTCTTATGAATGTTTACTAAGAGTAGGGACAGACTCTGATTTGGGGTTTTTCTGGTAGAAAGACTGAGTAAGTATTTAACAAAGTTAACTTTAAAAAAAAAAATCACAACATACTTTTTTACTTAGTCAATAAATATTTATTAGGCAACTAACTACCACCCACCGTGGGAAACACCATTAACAGTACCAAGAAGGCTTGGTATCTTTCAGGACAAGAGAAAACAGAAAAGATTCCAAATTTAAAGGTCCAAAGAGCATGATTTTCAAAAGACAGGCAAGAACAGTGCTCCAAAGAATACATTTTAAGTGAAGTTGCTATAAATTAATAAGACTGAATTTTCATTTATGGTTCTAACTGGCTTTAAAAAAAATTCCAAAGAAAGCAAGCCAAAAATGATAGTTTACAGCCATTTAAAATTTTCTTGATACTTGCAAAGAATTTTTCTAAAAAATAATATCCAATATCAAGTGAGCATTGTCACCAAGTGATCATAGTAAAATAATAAAAACTCCCCATCCTAATTGAAAAACAAATGTTCTATCAACCAAAGAAAACATTAACTCAAACACTCAAATATCTATTATCTGTAATGTGGTATCCTGACTGTATCTGGATAAAAAAGGGATTAGTGGAAAAACTGGAGTAAAGTATAGGGTTCAGTTAACAGTATATACTAAATGCCACTCTCTCCCTTCTGATAAACACACTACTGTCAAGTCAGTTCCTACTCATAGGTTCTACTCAACTGGGTTTCTGATTCTATACATCTCTATTGCAAGAGACTGACAATATTTTTCCTGCAAAGATACACTGGTAGCCTTTGGATTAGCAGTTCAGCTCGCTTTGAATTATGCTACTAGAGCTTTCTCAGTTTTGATCAAAAGGAATCAAAATTATGTCAAATGTTTACATTTGGAGAGGGTATCAAAAATTTTTCTATACTTCCTAAGAACTTTTGTGGAAATCTAAAATTATTACAAAATAAAATTTAAAAAATACAAACAATAATCTTAAACAGAATGTCCTTTGGTAACTAGTAATATGGATCAATAAATACAGTAAGTTCTAATAAAAGGGGAAATTAAGAATTGATTCATTATCTCTGTTAACTACAGCCTGATTTAAACAAACTTCTGGTTCTTACATTAAAATTTCACTTAAATGTTTACTTATATTTACGTGGCATTAGAAACATAATTATAACAAGGCTGCCTATAGTTTATTTTAATCACGTGAATATAATTAAACGAATACTATAATTTAAGAACATGTGTATGCTAAAATAAAAAACTGCTTCTGTATTCAGTCACATCTTATTTTTACAGAGAGTAAAATATTTCTAGTTAAGTCAGAGAATTGGATAATCTGCTTGGCTCAGAATGGCTCACTTATTCATACATTTAGGAAACATCTACGACAAAATATTACTATAGATAGCAGGGAAACAAAACACCAATCTAAAATGCAAGAACTCACATTTCAACATAGAATTCATACAGACAATACTGCATAAAAACAGTAAAATGTGAAAGTGTCATGCTGATGGGCTATAAAGAGCACAGAGGAAGGGGAACTAGGAAACTAAG